CATCAATCTGCCTATTCTGTTCCCTCTGTCTCCTGTGAATCCTCTCACCCTCCCACGCATCTGGCCTGTACTCCGGTTCTTGTATAAAAATAAATAAATTTTTTTAAAAATCAGAAATAAGGAAAATGGTAGTTAAAAAGAAAATAAAAGCAAGAGAGAGAATAAGGATAAGAGGAAACAATGAGGATCTGGAGTGTACTTGGTCCTTGACTCCAGCAATAATAATCAACTAAATTGTGGTGAAAATCATGTCTTACTACTAAATTGTGCTATAAAAATAAAAATAAGGGCCTCCCCTGGTGGCGCAGCGGTTGAGCGCTGGGCTGCGAAGCTGCCCACAGCCTCTGCAGCACCGGTTCGATCCCCGGCCACGGGAGAGGGTCCCACATGGCGCGCAGACCTCTCCTGCTGCCCGCTGCTCCCCTCAGCAGTGTACTTTGTCACTCTGCCTGTTCTGTTCCCTGCTCTGGCTCTGGTGAATTCTCTCACCCTCCCGCACTTCTGACTGTACCCAGTGCTTGTATAAATAAATAAATAAATCTTAAAAAAAATAAATAAAAATAAGCAAGATGGTTAAAGAGTGGGTATGAAGGGGAGTATCTATTCAAGAATGGGTCTTTCAAACCCAATCTTCTAATTTTATAGGTGAGGAGACCCAGGTAAAGCCTCAGGGTAGGGAGCAGATTGCTCTCTTTTGTTGCTACATTAGCACAGGATATACAACTTAAAGGCATGTTTTAAGAAAGCAAACTCAACTATAATTTGTTATGTAACTACTGATACTTAAATACTCTCGACAATTACTTACACTAATCTAGGAATTATCCCTAGCTTTGATTAGAGACCCCCAACCTTTTAACTCTGAAATCATAATGGTATGGGAGAAATATATACACTTTGAAGGCTTTGAGGTTCTTACAGGTACTTTAAAAAAAACCACTTTATCGAGGTATGATTGAATTAGAAAATCATACAAATTTAATTTATAAAAAATGTAATGACTTGGGATATAAGTATTGATCCATATACCATCACCCATAAGCTATGCCATAAACATATACCTCATCTCCAAGAGTGTTTTCCGCCTTATTGTTTCTCATGTGTCTGACAAGAACACTTAAGATATAGTCTCCTAACAAATTTTTATTACTGTTTAATAGGCATTATACTGTACAATAGACCTCTAGAACTAATTCATCTTGCAGAACTGAAACTCTGTAGCCTTTGACTACTTCTCTCCAATCATTGACTCTTCTTGCTTTGCAGTAGTTCTGATGTAGCCAACGATCAGACACTTTGTGTCATCTCAACAAATAGTAAATACTCTAAAATGTTAACTTGTAAGAAGGACTTGGCTTTTCTATCTTTTCTGGTCAGCCAGAAGTTTCCATTAGTGTCTCTTCTTTTCTAGTCTTGGTCTCTCACCTTGTAGCAAAAGGGAAGGGGAAAGGCACTTTATTTATTTATTTTTTTAATTTTAATTTTATTTTTATATTCCCCATACAATTGCAACCCCCTTATTTTGACCCCAATCCCTCCCCTCCCCGCCCCCCACCCCTTATTGAGTGTCTCTGGTTCATAGTTGTTTGTTGATTTTGATTTTCACTTTCTTACAGTTATTCATTTTCCTGGTCCCTTATTTAAGTTTTCTAGATTCCTGCTATGAGTGAGACCATCCAGTATTTTTCTTTTTCTTTCTGGCTTATTTCGCTGAGCATGATCCCTTCCACCGCCATCCATGTTGCTGCAAATTGCATGTGTTTATCTTTTTTGAATGCTGAGTAATATTCCATGGTGTATATGTACCACATCTTCTTGATCCAGCCATCTATTTTTGGGCATTTGGGTTGTTTGCAAAGCTTAGCTATTGTAAACAGTGCTGCTATAAACATAGGGGTGCAGGTGCTCTTTGGAATTGATGTTTCTGTGTCCTTTGGGTAAATACCTAGGAGTGGAATTGCTGGATCATATGGAAGCTCTATGTTCAGTAGGTCCAGAAATCTCCACACAGCTCTCCATAGTGGTTGGACCAGTTTGCACTCCCACCAACAGTGCAGGAGAGTTCCTTTTTCTCCACAACCTCGCCAACATTTGTTGTTGCTAGTTTTTTTAATATGTGCCATTCTCACTGGTGTCAGATGGTATCTCATGGTAGTTTTGATTTGCAGGGAAAGGCACTTTAAACAGAAGAAAGTTAGGACCCTTGGGGTTATGTTTTCTTAATTTGTCACTCTCTCTGGATGACTTAATTTTTCTCTGGGTATAACCATTATGCATAGTGGACGCTTGGAGTTATTGTGGGTTCTGATGTGCATAGACAAATTGTAAGTGCATTTATGAATTATGAATTTGTCTGATTATATAAGCACCAAGTCTTGGTGGTTAAAAGCAGGTCACTGGAGAGACTTATGATCTATAACAGGTCTATAATTTACTAGCTTATTGGCTATGTAATCTCGGGCACTATATCTGTAAGGTGAAGAAAGATAATCACATTAATAACATCATAGGTTGTTATAAAGATTAGATGAGTTAATACTTATGAAAGAAACACTTGGCACATGTCAAGTACTCTTGAGTATTTAAATAAATGCTCTACTAATGTCACCTATTGTTTTTGCTCATGCATGACCTTTTCAAAAGTCAGCTGCATATAACATTATTGAAACTCAAGATATGGGGGGGAATTTTTATCAGAAATATACCAAAATATAGCTTATTAAGTTTATTAAGACAAGGATGTCCGAACATTTAATATCACACTTGTTTTTAGGACTGAACCGTAGGGTGTAAACTGTAAATGTAAATGACAGTATTTTTATTTTTTTTTTTAATTTTATTTATTTATTTATTTATTTATTTTTTAATAGAGGCATGTTTTATTTATTTATTTGTTTGTTTTGTTTTGTTTATACATGCACTGGGTACAGTCAGAAGCGCGGGAGGGTGAGAGAATTCACCAGAGCCAGAGCGGGGAGCAGAACAGGCAGAAGGACTGAAGTACACTGCTGAGGGGAGCAGCGGGCGGCAGGAGAGGTCTGCGCGCCATGTGGGACCCTCCTCTGGTGGCCGGGGAGGAGCCGGGGATCGAACCGGCGCTGCAGAGGCCGCGGGCAGCTTCGCAACCCAGCGCTCAAGCGCTGTGCCACCGGGGAGGCCCGACAGTATTTTTAGATTTAGAATGTGACATTTACTTTGGTATTGTTAATATATGTAGCAATTGAAAATAATACTAGATAACCTTCATGTAGTTAGCTTCCTTTAGATTTATTTTCAAAATATATGTTTGGTTTATTGTATGACTATGTTGGTCTCATTTAACCTATTTGTGACAAATTAAGGAAAGATTTAAATATGTGAAACACCTCAGAATATAAATCTCTACAGTGTTATAGCTGTTTATCACACCTTGTGCTTCCAAAGAAAAACAAGAATATGGCATCTTGAATTTCTTCATTGGCTAATTTAAAGCCCAGTTATAATGTGAACACCAACTAAACATCATCTTATTCAATTCTGTCAGCATCAATTAAATTTATAAACATACTGGTCATATGTTCTCTTTCAAAGCTGTTACTATTCAAAACAAACATCCAAATCAACAAAATAGCATGAATATTTATGACCACAAATCTTTTTATTTCCTTTTTGGTGTGAGCTTTAAAAAAAGTCATTTGAAATTCTTTGTTCTATTCTACTCAGATAGATGATACTATAATAGCTTACACATAGCTAGTGTTTACTATATTCCCAGGCTATTCTAAACGTGGTAAATTTTGATTCTCACAAGCAAAAGACTAAAGTAGTTGCAATTTTTAAGATAATACAGCAATCTCAGGAAGATAGTGGGGACAGTATGAAAACTTAAGAACCTAGGTCTACAGACTAGTGTTCTTTGTGCAGCATTTATATTGACTGATCTAAAAACTTTGCATAGTTTTTTAATTACCATTACTAGAAAGGAGAAGGGCATTTTGGGGGGCGATGTTGCACTTGGCCTGTCTCTGATGCCTATTTACCGGTAAACTGTTTTCATGTCTGTATGAAATAAGCAACACAGGAAAGTAATCACGACCTTAGAGCATAATTCAGTAGTCAAGACAGCCTAGAAGAGACATTTCTCAAGAAGATGTGGTATATATATGCACAATGGAATACTACGGAGGGATCAAAAAAGATAAGCTCATGCCATTTGCAGCAACATACATGGGCCTGGAAGAGATTATGCTGACGCAGTAGTCAGGAGAAAAAAGATGAAACCAGATAGTTTTGCTTATATGCGGAATATAGAGAAACCAAAGTGGGGGGGGGCATACAAAACTTGCAAGCTGATCATAGATCAGAGGCATACAACAGGAAGGGGAGGGGATGGGGTCAAGACAGGGGACATTGGTAAGTTTTGGAAGAACACAGAGGGCTGTGTGGTAAGAGTACAGGTACTCTGACAGTAGGAGAACTACAGGAACTATCCGCGGGGGAGAAATCAAATGCCATCCAAAAATTAACTAAGATGTAAGAAAATAAACATTTTTTAAAATATTTATTTATTTATGCATACAACAGCAGGGGTACAGGCCAGAGGTGTGGAGGGTGAGAGGATCCACCAGAGACAGAGTGGGGAACAGAACAGGCAGACTGACTGAAAATACACTGCTGAGGGGAGCAGCGGGCGAGTAGCATCCTGGCCAGCCGGGGATCGAACTCGTGCTGCAGAGGCTGCGGATTGCTTCATAGTGCGGTGCTTAACCCTTTGCGCCCCCAGGGAGCCCCAAAATAAACATTTTTTTAAACCTTAATCTATGGATTGAAAAAGAGAGAGACGTTTGCCTGAACCCTGCGACCTTCCCACCGCGACCCGCACCCGAGCAGGGCGGAGCGCCCACCCATTACAAAACCCGCGGAGCCCCGACACGCGCGGGGCGGAGCTCCGGGGGCGACCGGGGTTCTCGCGGGGGCCCGCGCTCGCGCAGCCGCTGTGGGCCGCTGGCGGGCGGGGTCGGGCGACGGAGCGAGCGCAGCGCTGACAGCTCTCGGGTGCTGGGCAGGATGAGCCCCGGAGAGGAGCGGCCCGCGAAGGGGGGAGCCGGCCCCGACGTCTCCGAGCTGGAGCTGCTAAAGCAGCGCGCCGTGGAGCGCATAGACGCGGCGGCGGAGCGCCTGGGGGCCCTGAGCCGCGCCATCTGGAGCGAGCCCGAGCTGGCCTACGAAGAGCACCGTGCGCACCGCGCGCTGACGCGCTTCTTCGAGCTGGAGCCGCCGGCCGCCTCCTGGGCGGTGCAGCCGCACTACCAGCTGGCCACGGCCTTCCGCGCCGAGTGGGAGCCGCCGGGGGCCCGCGCCGCGCCGCGCCCGCTGCAGCTGGGCTTCCTTTGCGAGTATGACGCGCTGCCTGGCATCGGGCACGCCTGCGGGCACAACCTGATCGCCGAGGTCGGGGCGGCGGCCGCTCTGGGTGTGAAGGGGGCCCTGGAGGGGCTCCCCCGGCCTCCGCCGGTGAAGGTGAGGTGGGGCCCGGGAGCGCGACTCCCACACCCGCGCAGGCCGGGACCGTCTGGGAATGGCCGGACCCGTTCCGGGAAGGGCCGGACCCGGGGCATGCGGCCCCAGGGCAGAAGTAGGGGTTGGCACTCAACCTCTGGTCTCGCCTTTGCCGAAAGCTGAACCCCTGAATTGAAAAGTTCACAGGTTGCGAGCCTAACAACGGTTTGCATTTACCTGTTCTTTGTTTCATCACCTGTTGTTGTGAACAACCGAGGGAACTCTCCTTAGGAAAGAGCTTAGAGCCTGATTTTCGTTACTGCTTATTTTTGTTAATATAGGCAACCGCAAATTGCAGATGAGGTGGTGCAGTCTCAGGAGGAAGTAATTCATGCATGGAAATCGACAGCTCCTCTTTATGAGGCTGCAAATAATCTTTTGTTTGTGGCAGTCATAAGTGCTGTTGTGATTCGAATCCTTGGCATTTGGATAGGAAACCAGGAAACCTCTAGAAATACACAGATAACGGGGGAGCGAATAAACATGTGCTGACTCTTAAGTTTGTAGTCTTAATTTTAGGGTTTTAAGAAATACTTCGATTCTTTGAACTGGTAAATGCCGTTTATATCTGTCACAGGGCAAGTCTAATCTTTTGTTACTGTTTTTCCAGATGGTATAATCTACATTCTGTGAGCTAAGGTTCAATCATCACCATTCAGGTTAAGGGGAAGACTAATGTTTTATTTTAATGATCTTTATAAAGTCCAGTTTTCCATTGTCAGTAACCTTTATCTTTTATCCTAACAATTCATCTTTTGTGGCTTTTTCTTTTTAGCTGCCTTCTATTTCTTGCCTTTGGGGGTTTGTTTTTGCATCTGATTAGGGCTTTGTTTTGTTGGGGGCGGTGCGGGACGTCCTTTGCCGATGCATGACACATTTGGAGAGATTTAGTTTTAACTAAGTTTACATTGTAAAGGGTTCATAGTAGTCAGCAAGAAGTCATCTAATGCAGAGTCAAGGGTCAAGAATAAAGGACAGTTTAAATGTTTGGGTGCTTGTGACTTCTAAAGAAAGTGAGACTGGGAAATGTACACACTTCTAATTTTGAATAGCAATGTTCTGTTTTAGCAAGGTTATGTGTCTTATCTGAAAATGGAATTTATGTTGATTCCCTTTTGCAAGCTAAGACTTTCCAGCTTGCTTCTTTGTGTTCTTATACATGATCTCGAAAGTGTATGAGTTGTTTATAATTTTTCTTTGCTTTTTAAAAATTATTTGAAGAAGTTAAAATTAAATATCAAAGTAAAATGTTTATTCTGTAAAGTTTTCTTTTGTTTAATTAGGTGTTTGGTGACCAATAAATCTGCCTGGTTGAACTGGTGGAATCGAATTAGTAAGTTTGTGTAATAGTTGGCCATTTCTAACATTGGACTTACATAATACTCTTCATAAAGGGTTAATTAGTTAAGATCTTTTAATGAGGTATCTTAGTAAGGAATCAGAGTTCAGGTCTGAAGGTCAGGACAACTAATCTCAGCTCTGCCTGAAGACTTGCTCTGATCTAGAGCAAGATACTTCACACTCTGCCTCAAAAATACCACCCCTAAAATGATCATAAAGGTCGCTTGTTCACCTACCTCACAGGGTTGTTGTGAGGATAACTAGTAGGTAACTGGAGAGTGCCTATGAATAATTACATACATACACTAAAAGGATTAGTCAAGAAGAAGCTTTGAGAAATAAATCCTAAAGAATTTTGAGGAACTTAATATATAATATTTAACTTTTTTCATCTTTGCCATTAGTTATATAAAATTGAGTTATGAAATTAGAAAAAGTTTCCTATAGTGGGGTTAAGCACCACTTGCACTGAATTGTGGGTATAACAATGTAAATGAAACCTGTGATAAATTTAGCACCATGCCCATTGACTATTTAGGGATCAGAACAAAATTTCTCTTCATAGTTTAAGGACTCTAATGTAGATTGTAAATATATATGCAAAAGGAATGTTTGATTTTTTTCCTACAAGGATTTTTGTTGTTGTTTTGCTCTGACACAAGTATTTCCTTCTAGGTAATTGTCCTAGGAACCCCAGCAGAAGAAGATGGTGGTGGCAAAATTGATTTAATTGAAGCTGGGGCTTTTAAAAACCTTGATGTTGTTTTTATGGCCCATCCATCCCAAGAGAATGCTGCTTATCTACCTGATGTTGCAGAGCATGAGTAAGTACTCAAATTGAGATAAACTTCTCAGTGGAAAACTGACTAGAGGATACTTTTATGTCATAACTATAGACTGAAAACTCCACATTTATACATCTAAAAAGTAAATCGAAAGATAATGATGTGATGTCTTACTTGATTTCCATTGAATGATATTTGGCAAGCCTCTTCTAGCATGGTCTTCATAATTGGACTACTAATATAGTGTCTAAGAAGCATACAAATAATACAGAGTATGTTGACACTCTGTTCTATTTCGATCTGAGAGTATTCTGGTGTCTGGACAATATCTAACCTTTGATATACAGTTGCCTTTGCAATTGAATAGTTTTGCAAGAGATAGCTTTATTAGTCCTGGGAAGAAAACACACTACTCTATTTTAATTTGCATTCTTAGCAAAGGAATGAATTGTGTTCCAGAGAGAAAATTCAGAAAACTGAATAGTGGAATTTGCTAATCTGTGCTTTTCTGATTTGTCTGTTGCTAAAGTTTTTTTTATTTATCTTTCTCTATGTTGAAGAGTTCATTTGTTTTTGGTACCTAGGATCATACATCACGGAAGTGATTTGGATATTTTACACCAGAAATTTCAACTGTAATAGTTAATGGTCCAGTTTGTGGCCTAATCACAAAGAGCCAGCTTCTTCAGGAAAACTACATGTTCTCTGCAGTAGCTAGGGCGTAATAGCAGAACCATTCCAGAAGTGCTTCTCTATGGTACTCCCTTACATCAATCAGCATCCCACCAGTCCTTGTTTTCTGAGGGTGATTAACTGCTGTGGTATCTTTCTTTTTATCATCTTTAATTGATAGTGACTTTGATTTCAGGGTTAGTACACACCAGTACATCTCTAGAAAACCTTAGAAAATAAAAATCTCTGCCAGTATCTCTCCGATTCAAAGGTGCCAGGCAGACTTCCCAGTCCATAAACCTTGAACTCTGGGTTAGGGTTGAACTCTGCTTGGCCTTGATCCTGAAGTTATCTCAGTTGGCCCTAAGTCTTTTCTTAGATTTTTCATTGCCCATCTTTTAAGATGGAGAAGAGAACAAGAACAAAATTTAACTTTTAAAAAATTACTAGTCTGTTTTGTCCTAAAAATCTCTGACAATAAGTAAGATAAATTAGGATATTTCTATTGATCACCTTTCTTACATCTTGTTCCTTCTCCAGGACTTTTTAGGTATATTTAGGGGGGTTTTGACCCTCACTTTAAAAAACAAACCCTTTCTACAGATGTGATCGATTGTATAGTGAAAATACTATAATGTGAATCCAATAATACATTGATATTGCATAATATATGCTAAGATGGCAAAATTTGAAAATTTAAGCATATAACTGTGCTTTAAGCACAGTTTAAAGTATAAGTAAAGTATAAGACTATGACTTACACAATAAAAATACTAAGAGAATTTTGTTTTTATTGCCAGTAAGAAGAAGTAAAGTAACTTAAATTGGAAAAGGTTATTTCACAATCACTTACAGTTTGCTAATGGTATGGGTGGGAAAAACCAAATTATTTTACCATTTCACTAAATTTTACACCACTGTTGTGCTTTTTTATTAGTTCTTTGTTTCAATTTAATAAAACTTTCTTTTTAATATACTCTTGGTTACAAGTTAGCATAATATTTTGACTCAGTTCAATAACAACCAATTGTATGAAAAGATACATAAAGACTAAAAATTCTATACTTTACTAAAAATATTGTGGACTCCCGTGATAAGATTGTCAAGCCAATAAATAAACCATGATTGGCTCAAATATAAAGTTACTCAAATGCCCAACCCACAAATGCCCCATCTACATGGTTTAGTTGGTTGCAATGGTGATGTGAATATTAAATCATAAAGTGATTTATATTTTAATAGGAAGGACTCATTATAAAGTGATTTGATTATATAGTGAACCAATCATAATCCAAGGACCTGCTATATGCACATATATATAGGTACATGTATAAATTAAATTTTGAAGAATTTTTCCCCCCTGAAGTCTTCTGCTCATTATATTGTTCTGGCTCTTGCTTTTTAAAATTAAACAGTATATCTTCAAAATATTTTGTCAGTTCCCCCATATTAGTTTTTTTCCCCCCCATATTAGTTTGAATTAATATGTGTACATATTTATTTTGTACAGGAGATCACTTGAGAATAATTTTCTTTTGGAATGCCTTCTTTATTTCAATTACTGTGATACATAATAGTGAGCTATATCTCTCATGTAAATTTCTGTGTTAGGGCTACAGATGATTTGCAAATGAAAATTCCAACAGTATGAATTAATGTTGAATAATAATTGGGTAATTTTGACTACTTGGGTTTTCTTACTTTAATGACACTGGAAAAATAATTCCAAATGATGTTTCATTTCCAAGTGTGACTGTGAAATACTTTGGAAAAGCATCTCATGCTGCTGCCTACCCCTGGGAAGGAGTAAATGCATTAGATGCTGCAGTTCTCGCCTACAACAATATGTCTGTATTAAGACAGCAAATGAAACCAACTTGGAGAGTTCATGGTAGGAATGTCAAATACTTTGTGTAATAGCCTGTGCTTATTATATTTTCAGGGCACAATAATTACTTAATATTTCATTTTTTAGAGAACATTTCATGTTACTTCATATGAATAGTCTAAAAATTTTAAACATTTTCAGAAATTCATGTGCCAGGATACTTAGATGTTTGTTTATATGGGAAAAAGACGAGATTATTTATACCAGTTGGAATGGTCATTTTGAGTACTGAGATTATGATTTTATGTAAGGATTTATGTTCTTTCTGTGGGTATTTGAAAGTTGGAACTTGATATTCTAGTCTCACGATTTCTTCATAGTATCAAAATTTTGTCATTACCTCAATTTAAAAAAGGGTCATGATTTCTGATTTTATTTACTCTAGTGATGTTGATCCTGAGTAATATCTTTTTTATTATAAATATAGTAATAAAGTACTATTTTGACAATGTAAATTTTTGGTAGTTTATTTCCTTATGATTTGGGAAATTATTATATTTTAATTTATTCTTTATCTCATTTTTGCTATCAGCTAAAATCAGTTTATAATTGCACTTTCACAAATTTTCCTACATTAGTTTCTTTAAAAGGAACAAGCAAGAATATTTAAGTTTTTTATAAAGTAGGTCATATCTATTTTAATTATTACTTTGAATAGATAAATCTTTATACTCTGCATAGTTCGAAATACATGCATTTATTTTTGACAATTGATAATATTAGTAATCACGTGTTGAATTCTTGTTCTCATGAAAATTATTTTCCCAGAGCCAAATGCCATTTAAAATATTTATGGGATTCTTGAGGTATAAGTATACTTATAGAAACTAACACCATTGGTCTTTTCTTTTTTATTTATTTATTTTTTTAAAAAAGATTTATTTATTTATTTATTTATCCAAGCACTGGGTACAGTCAGAAGCACGGGAGGGTGAGAGAATTCACCAGAGCCAGGGCAGGGAACAGAACAGGCAAACTGACAAAACACACTGCTGAGGGGAGCAATGGGCACAGCAGGAGAGGTCTGTCGCTCCATGTGGTACCCTCGCTGGTGGCTGGGGATCGAACCGGCGCTGCAGAGGCTGCGGGCAGCTTCTCAGCCCAACTCTCAACTGCTGTGCCACCAGGGGAGGCCCTGGTCTTTTCTTTTTTAATGTCAAAAGGTTATCAATATAGGCACAATTCTCAGTAAGCCTTACAGAAATGTCTTCTCTAGAAAATTTAAGATACTACTAAGGTCTCCCTGGTGGCTTAGGGTTAAGTGTCAGCTCGGTGACCTGAGTTCAATCCCCAGCCAGGGAGCTAACCCACATATGGCGCAGCAGACCTCTCTTGTCTTGCCCACTGCTCCTCTCAGCAGTGTATTTCAGTCACTCTGCCTGTTTTGCTCCCCACTCTGTCTCTGGCCCCCCAGCACCTCTGGCCTATACCCCAGTTCCTCTACACAAAAATTAAAAAAAAAGATATTACTAAGTATATTTTTTGTAGTTATAAAAATGTCTAGCAGTTTATAGTCAAGATTCATAATTTCTTAACATATAGAAATTCTTTAAAGTACCTATAAAACAATTATTTTTTTCCTGTTAACTAGAAAGTGTCACCCTATGTATAGAAATGTGTGTAGTACAGCATATCAAAATTTTTGTTTTATCTGTGGAGTTAATAAATTTAAATTCCTTTTTTAATATACATATTGGCTGAGAAAGTTTATGGTTATGTTTAAACTTTAAAAAATGGTCTCCAAGCTCAATTACAGTAATTTGATTCTTTTTATAGGTATAATTAAAAATGGTGGTGTAAAACCCAATATCATTCCCTCTTACTCTGAATTAATCTACTACTTCCGTGCACCGTCAATGAAAGAACTTCCAGTTTTGACCCAAAAAGCAGAAGATTGCTTCAGAGCTGCAGCTTTGGCTACAGGATGCACAGTAAGAATTTTCAGTAGTTAATCTAAATTATAATCAGAAGTATATGGGTGAACTAGGTTGTTTATATTGTTAGATTAAAACCTAATTTAAAAAAAAAAATAAAACCTAATTTGTCTCTTTTCAATTGTTGATATCTCGATTATGTGAAATTAGTTGATTAACTAGTTTATGTGAAAGTCTTTAATATATATTGTACTCTATTCCTACATAAGGAAAATCTCAGTTATCTTTTTTTACACAGAAATTAGAATAACTGATATTACAGAGCTACCATCTGTCATTTTGCTAGTCATGGTCTTCCTTTTTGACAGTTATGCTTTTAGAATTGTTCTGTATCTTTTCTATAAAGGGAATTTTATGGCAAAATGAGCAAAAGCTATTTTATGGTAAAGTTAGAGATATATGTAATAGTGATATAAATACTTATAGTTTGCTGTAATAGAAGTTAAAAGAGACCAGAAATTAGTCAAGAGGTTTTATTGATTTTGAACCATAAAGCCAGTATCATTAATGTACCAGGCATGTAGCATATACAATGGGATGAGAAGTCTCAGAATTAATGTAAAATGTGAATCTTGCCCTGGAGAGAGTATACAATTTAGTTGGAAAGATAGGATCTGGGCCTCCATTTTCTCACTTGAAAAGTGGAGAATAGAAAGTCTATCTCAGGGTTTCTTTTTTTTTTTTTTTTTTTTGTGATTTTATTTTTTTTTTTTAGAGGCATGTTTTATTTATTTTATTTATTTGTTTGTTTGTTTGTTTATACATGCACTGGGTACAGTCAGAAGCGCGGGAGGGTGAGAGAATTCACCAGAGCCAGAGCCAGGAGCAGAGCAGGTAGAAGGACCGAAGTACACTGCTGAGGGGAGCAGCGGGCGGCAGGAGAGGTCTGCCGCCATGTGGGACCCTCCTCCAGTAGCCGGGGAGCAGCTGGGGATCAAACCGGCGCTGCAGAGGCCGCGGGCAGCTTCGCAACCCAGCGCTCAACCGCTGCACCACCGGGGAGGCCCTATCTCAGGGTTCTTGTGAGAATTAATGAGATAATATTTGTAAAGAGTTAGGAACTAATGCATATATACCTTATTCTGCCCTCAGTTGATGGGGGATGTGTGATTTATATTAGCAGTGTCTCACTGTAGCAGTGATTCTCAGACTAAATATGTAAGTATCCAAAAAATAAAAAAATTAATGCATTACTTATTTAAATTTTTATAAAATAAAGACATAGCTAATATCATTAGCTAATATCTCAAAGTATAATATTCCGTTAGGATAAGGTTTATTGTTAGTGGATTTAAATCTATACTTTAAATAGTCTTTTAATAATTTTTTAAAATTTGATTCTTTTGTAATATTGGATTAGGTTGTCATTGTGACTAATGTTGCTAAGAATAGAAGAAATGTCATTTGCCATTTTATAATTGACTTTTGCTAATATTATTTTTATTATCTTTAGTTTGAGATAAGGTAAAAGATTTGAGAGGATTTCTATTCAGAAGGGAAAATGTTCCCCCTTAAATTTCTTTCTGCTAGAGAACCATAGTGGTTTGAAAATTAGATAATGACTTTGAATTTTTTATTTCAAAATTTGTTTTACAATTTTTAATTAGGTAGAAATTAAAAGTGGAGCACATGATTATTATAATGTTCTTCCCAATAAGAGCCTCTGGAAAACTTATATGGAAAATGGAAAAAAACTGGGAATAGAATTCATCTCAGAAGATGCAATGTTGAATGGCCCTTCAGGTAATTAAGTTCTTTCATTTATGTGGAATTATTTGAAGAAGAGAAATACCATCTTTATTTAGTGATTTTGTTTAATGACTTTGGAGGTAGGGATGCACTGCTGATGTTTTTAATGGTATTTCTAACAAACTTAATAGGGAAAAGATACTATTGGGAAAAAAATACCAGATTGGAAAAATCACAAAATTTAGAAGCTGGTGTCTAGATTTAACAGTTCAGAATTGGAAAGGGATACTTGATGGCATATTAGCAAGATATGGTCTACTGTGATATTTGGGGAAGTGAGGGGAGAGAAATTTTCACTTATGCTCTTGTATATAAAGACAGTTTGTATAACACAATATAAACTTTTAAACAAAGAAATTAAAAAACTCAAGTGCATGTAGAATATCAATTGATCAGACTTGTCTTTAGAAATAGCCAACAAACATTTTCCTTTATATTCTAAATATTTCTATTATCTAAATTTGCTTAGTTTTATTTTTTGGATAAGCTATTTAAGTGGGAAATAGAATTTTAATTCATTCTCAGTCATCACAGGTAAGCAGGTCAAGGTCACTAAGTACGTACTGATAGTATATGGGGCATTTTCAGTTTTTGAGGAATAACACAACTATTAGGGTTGAATCATAAGTGTATTGGTGGTTATTATAGGTTTTTCCCTTTTGAAAACATTATTACTAATATGTTTGCTTGTTGATGTATCTCCTGAAATATAGTAATAGATGTTAATGAAGTAGACTCAAAAGAATGCAGTAGTGAAAAATGGGATATTGATGTCATTTACTGAGATAAGGAATTCAAAAGAAAGAGCAGTAGGGGTATGGTGGCTTGGCATAAATTATTGAGGTGCTTATGGGATCTAAGGGGAGCTATCCAATAGCTTGTTGAATCTGGAACCTCCAGAATGTACCGAGGTTGGAAATTTTGGAGTTGTCGATATATGAGATAATTGGAAACACAATTGATGTGGTTGCCTAAGTACACAGATGGAGAAGCCCAAAGGTAAAACCTTGGTCCTCACCAGCACTTAGGAGGCAGGTAAAGGAAACAGTGTAAAGAAGGAGACAGTATCCTGAGGTGACAATGTATGATAAAAAGTAGAGCTAGTGAATTAACCACTTTGTAAATATTTTTTTATTTAAATATTTTATTTTATATAATTCTTACATCTTTTCTCATCTTTGCACAATGTATGCATTTTCATTTTGGTTATATTCCCCATACAATCGCACCCCCCCCCCATTATTTTGACTCTAGTCCTTCCTTTCCCTGCCCCTCCCTCACCTCCCCCCCAGTGTGTCTCTGGTTTATAGTTACTTGTACATATTTTTTTGTTATAGAAAAGAAACATCTTGGAGGTAGTCTTGTTAAACCATCTCTGAGCAATGTATGTTAGGACTTGTTCAGAAAGTTGGCAACAGGCAGAAAGAAATACAGAGGGAGAGATTATGCAAAAGTGTTCATATTTAATTTGATGCTAGCCATTGATATGTGTGCATCTCATGACTGTGCCTATAGGAAAGCATTGTTAAGTAGTTCAGTGAACATATGTCCTTGCTAATATTTTAACAAAATAGATTGGATAATGAATTACCTATAGTCCTTGCTAATATTTTAAAAGGATAGATTGGATAATGAATTACCTTAGGAGCATTATACTGTAGTTTATTCTGTTGCTTTACGTCTCATTTTTAATTGAACATTAAGGGAATGCAGTATCTTGGTTGTAATTCTGCCAGCATCTTTATCTATAGGCACATTGCCATTTTGTCTTTCTGAAATTTTTGTTGCCAAGAAAGGCAGGATCACTTTTTTTTTTCCCTTCAGATGAGTTGGTGTGTGTATTCTTGGTTATCAAAATACTTGTATAGCTTTGGAACTTTGAAATGGTATATATTCATAGTGTGTGGGAAAGCATGCTACATAACTATACAATCTTAATTACATAAAAGTGGATGCTTAGTTATGTAGAAATACACACAGGATCTCAAAGGATGTGTCAAACTAAACTGCTTGTAATTATGTAATTATGGATAACTTTGTTCTTTGCTTCTTGTGCTTTTTAGTTTTCCTATTATGCACATGTTAACTTTAAAAAAATAAATGTTATTTTAAACACCTGCAAAAAAAAAAAAAAAAAGGAGACAGAGTAAACCAGACAGTCAATAGAGCGTGGAGTCACGGGAGCCAAAGAAGTAGAGAATTTCTGGAAGGGAAGGAGTAGTAAATTATGTCAGATGCTACAGAGATTGAATAGGTGTGCTCTAGTGTCTATTGGACTAGCAATTAAAAATAAATGTATTGTTTCACCTTTCCAAGGATCTACTGATTTTGGAAATGTTAGTTTTGTGGTCCCTGGGATTCATCCATATTTTTACATTGGGTCGAATGCCTTGAATCATACAGAACAGTATACTGAAGCTGCAGGTAAGTGTATTAGAAGTGAATGTTTTGGTACATGCTCTCTTTTTTGTAATAGTAGCTGCCTTTTTAACTAATTTAGTCTGTTATTATTTCACTGTGTAATATCACTTCAGAAAATATTATATTGTTGGTAGTTGGAGAAGCAATTTAGGTGAGAGCTAATTTGAAAATTTGTTGAATATGGATGTTTTAATTTATTTTCTTTTCCTTTTAGGATCACAAGAAGCTCAGTTCTACACTTTGCGTACAGCCAAAGCTCTGGCAATGACTGCATTGGATGTTATTTTTAAACCAGAGCTGCTAGAAAGAATCAGAGAGGACTTTAAATTGAAACTCCAAGAAGAAGAGCTTTTAAATACAGTAAAATAAAAGCCAGATTTAGGAGATGCAATGAATCATAAAGAAGTGAATTCTTTTTTTCTTTAACCTTTTTTAGTGAGGAAGGAGGGCTTGCTTATTTTTCGGTCTTAAAAGGAGTCAAATTCCTCTAACCTACAAAGTGAGGACGTGATACGTAGAAAACATATTACCTCATATATCTAAAATGAATATATATATATTTGATGGAATTGTGACTATTCAGGAGCTGGCATGTGATGGCATTTCTTAACCTGGGCAAAATGTAGCTATGAGTAATAATACTTTATAAATTCATATGTTGCATAAGTGTATTTTAAATTATGCAAAATATTACACACCTTATATTCAGAATTGACACATGAAAGTTGTTTTGGGGTTTTTTTGGTATTGGGTGGTAAAATTTTTCTATAAAGTAGTATTAAATTTAAGTTCTGAATTTAAAAAAAGGTCATTCTGTATATCTAACTTTCCTGTTTTGGTTTAGAGAAGCTCTTCCTTTATAATAAAAGTAGATTTTTAATCAGGAATGCTATGGGAAACAACTAGAAACTCAGGCACAAAGAATAAGCTTTAGTTTTGCCATTTGAAGGAAAATGTTCTTTTTTTTGTAGAATTCATTCTGAAAAGTGGCATAAAAGTACAATTTCTAATGCACTATTACTATACTAGGAAAGATGATAAACATGTGATTGGGCTCTCCTAGTAAGGTGTTTGCTTGCTAGCCCAATGTGTTCTAGAAGGACTTTCTGAGGGAGGAGCATTGACTGTGCACCAGGCTCTGCTTATCTTGATCCTTTTGGTCATATAAGTGGTCCTATCTATCAAGTGGCCTTTTTCAGGCTTCTCAGAAGCCAGTCTGACCAGCATGGCTGGAGAACATTGTAGTTTATTGAGCTTAGGAGGCACAATGTTAAGCACCTTTAAGGTCCACTGTAGCCCAGTATTAATTAGAAAGTATAAGTTTTTCTTGAGTTTTTTTTGTGTGAATTTCATCAGCATGATAAAAGAGGCTAAGAAAAGTATCTGATAAAACAAATATTTTAAGCTGTGAATATAATACAACTCCTGTATATTTATTTTAAAGGGACTCCCAATTTGGATGTCAGCATTCTAAAAATTAAAGAGAAAGGAGAGAAAAATGAGCATTTGGAGTGTGCTGTTAGCCAGTCACTTGGGCCCTCTGAGCCTTCAGCTCCCCCAATTTGAAAAATTAGATCACTTACCTTTACAGTCCTTAGAACTTCTAATTCCTATTTTACCTGGTTATTTCAAGTTGAAGAAAAGGGGGTACTTTTTGGGAGACTTAGCAGAGAATTGCTCTTCTTCCTTATCAGGGGTTTGCAACCTACAACCTGATTTGAAAAGCACCCTGATATTATATGGCTAGTGCTCTAAAAATGATTCTTAAAATTTTAAAGGAGTGGGGAGGGTGTTGGGGAGTGGGATGAGAAAGCAACAGAGACCAGATAATGTGACCAGAAAAACTTAAAGTATTTATTATCTGTCCTTTTATGAAAAAAGTTTCCTAATCCCTATCCTATTCAAGAGTAAAATAAAACCATTCCTGTTTGGTTTTGGATAAAACTTAAAGCCCAGAGGCTGATGACACTGAGCAGATTTAGATGCTAAGGTCCTGATGTATTGACCATGGTAATCCATCTGCAGATTGTCCTTTTTGGGAGTTCTAGCACTTTAAAGGTGTGTTTTCTTTTAGCATTTACTTTACTCTGAGATGTGGCTTTTAGAACTTGATCTTCCAACATCACCTCTTGTCTCATTATTTTCAATCTCCAACAGTCATGGTTAGTGCATATTTTATTTGCTGGGAGGAATCAGCAAAGGCTTCAGACTAAGAATTGGATGTGTTGGAGACCTGGTTTTTATAAACAGAATTTAAAACTGCGTGTTTTAAATTCCCTATATAAATTCCTGCACTCTACCTGTATTTTCTAAATCCTTGATAAAATTTTGGAACAATGATTTCCCACTGGTATCTCCCCTAGTTAATGTTTTCCTATCTTTTGGGAAGTGTCATAAGTTGTTACACAAAGCCTTTGTATTTTGCTTGTGACTACTTTTTAAAAACAAACTAGAGAAAATTCAAGATTAGCATTCTGTTGTTACCAATCCATCTTCCTTGGGGGAACAAGGTATGGAGTTGGAGCTGGCCTGCAGGTAACAGGCTTAATGTGCACTAGTGCCACCTACCCATACCACCCCAGCAACACAGTGATAACTAATCTTAATATGCCACTAAAAGTCACTTGAGTTTCTATATTTTGTCCCCTTTCAGTTTTTGAAAAATTTGATCAAAATGTGGGCTTATCCATTGGACTACTTAGTGGATTTATCATGTCAGAAAAGCTGTTAATAATTGTGTTGTACTCTCTAGAAGTATGTTTTTCTTTAGGACTTGACTTCTTACATTTGTTTATACTTGAACTGTTTAATATAATTCAGATTTCAAAATTCCTTTTTATATACCAGTGAGTTAACAGAGCCCTATTACACTAAAAAGTGTAAAAGAAATGCATAAGTAAATGCTAGCTAATGTTCATTATGCCTTTTAAATTTAAGAAACTTGCTTCCTTTGTATTACAGTTTTTCCTTTTGGAACCAAGTTCTTTCTTTACCTTCCTGTTTCAGTGGCATATTTCTTAGTTTTGTTGAATTTTCTTAAATGTTTACCATAAATTATTGTTATTGGGTAGTCCTCACATTTTGGGTTAAATTTTCAAAATATTTTGGAAGGTAAAGGAAGCAATAGATTATAGGTGGACAGTGTCACTTATAGATAAGGAAAGGTCCTGTTGAACTCTTTATACTTAAGAGATGAATGCTTACTTTTAAAACTGAACTTTAAAGAATTTGTAATTTTATATCTTCTTTATTAAAAACCGTGCAATTAAGTTTATCTGCTAGAATTAGTTTGAATGATGACATTTTATTATCATTTAGATTCAGTGATTTTATATTTCAATATTGATATCTGTATTTGTATATACTATGTTATTCTTCCACTCTTTGAAGCCTTTCAAAAGGCTTAATTTGTTTCAGGTACTCCAAAATCTAAACTTTTGGGGGGGAAAAGCCAAGCTGACTTAGTGCAAAGTTTGAAATGAATGATTATTAGAATACTGAATTAATTTACCTAAACCAGAGGTATTGGTGGATCCCTTGAGGTATCTTTGTTTATGGAAAATATAGTTATTACATGACTTTTACAATCATTTGTTGCTCACACCCTGCACTGGAAGCCTTTTCCATCAAATATCAACTTTTAACTATATTAAATTAATAGACTTTAAAAGGTATATGCCAAATTTTGGTTTAATTTTAATTGCAGATTGAAGGCTTTTTTTTTTTTTTTTTAAGATTTATTTATTTATACAAGCACTGGGTACAGTCAGAAGCACGGGAGGGTGAGAGAATTCACCAGAGCCAGAGCGGGGAGCAGAGCAGGCAGAAGGACTGAAGTACACTGCTGAGGGGAGCAGCGGGCGGCAGGAGAGGTCTGCGAGGTCTGCGCGCCATGTGGGACCCTCCTCCGGTGGCCGGGGAGCAGCCAGGGATCGAACCGGCGCCACAGAGGCCGCGGGCAGCTTCGCAACCCAGCGCTCAACTGCTGCGCCACCGGGGAGGCCCTTTTTTTTTTTTTTTTTAAGTTTACTTTTTGGTGATTCAGTAGCAGACTTGAATATGGGACCTATATAAAACAGTTATGTGGTACTATTAATTTTAAGTTTCTTTATACCATGGAATATTGAGTATAGCTAATATTTAGCTTACCTCTTAAAATTTTCAGACTGCTCTTCATTTTTAACGAACTAGTCATATTATATGAATTACTCAGGAAATCCTTCCCATTTACTTGCTTCTCTCTGTAGTACTCAATTAGAGAATTTAGGATAAGCGAGAGCATTTTCACGTGTTTATGGACACTTGTATAAACTGAAAGTGTTTTCCCACAGTCCTCCAAAAGACCTTATTCATATATTGTATTTTGACTGTTATAATTTCAACAATTCAGTTCAGTGAACGTTTGTTGAAGAGTGCCAACTCCTAAGCATTGGCGGTAAGAAGAGTAAGACATGGTCTTTGCCCAAAAAGCTTGTGGTTAATGATAAGTTCTTACGAAATCTGCTTCATCTGAGCAACACTGGGATTGAAGATCCTCTGAAAGCTACAATCTTGGAAAGTTTTGAGGAAGTGTTTCTAAAATATTTTATAATACCCAAGTCACATTAGTGTGAACATTGGACAGAAGAAGTTAATAGGGAAAGTCTGGTACAAGAATGATTGTCTAATTTTATAATATGCTCTTTTAAAAAAAATCTGATACTTCTGTGTTTTATGTATTTCTTACTTTTTATCTATAGTATCTCTTTAGTCTTTTGGAAATTATTCTGCTTAGTACTTGTCTTCAAATTATCAAAGTAAAATTTCACTATGAAAGAAATCAATTATCTGTCTGCTAACTAGCAACTCTTCATAAGGCTGTAAAGTAGAATAAACTATCTTATATTTTTATAGTTTAGCAAGCATTTGTAATGTAATTATAGTTGAGAATGGTACATTTTAATATATATGAAATTAATATTTTCAAGTAAGCAATCACTACTCTGATGGTAAAAAATACCATCAGATTATAGTATTTTGTAATATTTTAACATTAAAGTATGTGTGAAAAAATTAAAATGTTAATATGTTTGTCTAATATCAATCACTTTGTGGTCTTTTAAACACATGTATGGAAGTAAAATGAAAATATATAAAGATAAAACACCCCAATGCACTGTGATGTAATCTTTTATTAATTCATCAATATTATGGATATTGGTTTGTTTTTAATATATAAATGTGATATTATTGATATGAGAATTTTAAAAGAACATTTAAGTCCTTTTATTTAAAAAGGAATGTTTTGCTAGTATCAGAAGCTGTGTGCAAATTATACATGGTAAGAGCTAGATACATAATTATTGTATTAAACTTTCTTAAAAGAATTATTTTCAACTTTACCATGAAGTAATTCTATGTAGTAACTCCAGTGCAATAGGATAGGTTTGTAGATTCTTATCAGTGTCCAAAGAATAAGTGCCTCGCATGTTTAAACTGGCTTCAAATTGGTGTTCAAATAAGTTCTTTTTTACCCAGTGATTAAAAAATAGGATTATCTTTGGTTAGTTTAGTGGATCAAAGTAACCAATTACCTAAAAATATAACCTAAGAAATAGAAAAGATGATCAGATCAGGGTTTTTTTTTTTTAGTTTTTTTTTTTTAAGATTTATTGATTGATTGATTGAATTGAGTTATACATACATACATACAAGCACTGGATACAGTCAGAAGCGCGGGAGGGCGAGAGAACACACCAGAGCCAGAGCGGGGAGCAGAGCAGGCAGAAGGACCGAAGTACACTGCTGAGGGGAGCAGCGGGCGGCAGGAGAGGTCTGCGCGCCATGTGGGACCCTCACCCAGAGGCCGGGGATCGAACCGGCGCTGCAGAGGCCGCGGGCAGCCTCGCAACCCAGCACTCAACCGCTGCGCCACCAGGGAGGCCCAGATCAGGGTTTTAAATAGACACGACTGTTATTTAGGTCAAAAGCCACTTAAGTAGCCATTGCTTCACTTGGTGAATAACACATTGTATTAGGTAATTTGAATTTGAATTTATTTGTTGTGTCACTAATTACTGACAGTATTTTGTTTAGCACAAGAGAATGGAATGTGGTTCAAAACTTAATATTTTCCTACTTGAGTTTAATTTATTCAATGATGACCAAACCTAAATCCAAGCATTGCCACTACCTGTAAATGATATGGATTCAGGATTAACCAATAGCTTCATGCCTTGTCATCTGACCTGACACACTTTCTTACTGGAAAATCAATTTATCGTGGTACTGGGAGAACTTTAAGGAGTTTGATATGAACCTATGTACTTGACTCTAAGAGTCCAAGTTTACTATTACTTGATAGATGCAGTGGAAGCCTAAAACTTTAGTGTCCAAGCCCCATTAATCTCTGAAAGTGGTGAGTTCTAAATACTTGCCAGCTATAATATTTCTTCAGAAGTGCAGCAGTTATCCTTTCCATTTGCTACTACTTCCATAGCAACTCTGGAAGACTTACTCATGCATCCCAAGTCAAAAAACCACTGAGGTAGGTAGGTTGTATGTTTTTTAAGAGACACTCTCGTGAAAAAATATATGTAGGAAGAGCTATAGTAGAAGATTCTGGGCAGAAATAGATTGTAATGGTTCTCTTGGAATTTTATCTCTAGATATGTCCACTCAGATTTTAGTCCATGTTACCCAGTTTCTGGTGTTGCCATTACCCCACCTACCCTCTGTTGCTTTGTAAATTTGCCTGGCCAAGTGTGGTTTCTTGTTACATTTATCCTTGGGATTTTATATTCTACTTTCATCATTTAACATTGTAACATAAGTATTTTCCACATCATTAAAAACCATTCAGAATTACTGTATCTAATTGCAAATTTCATTGCTGTATATACTGTAATTTACTTAACCATTCCCTGGGGTCTTCATTTAGATTGTTTACAATCATTTGTTACTATCAAGAAAGTGCTGGCGAACATTTTACACATAAAGATTTTTATCTGTACTTGAAAATATTTTCTTAGGTTCTTTCCCCAATACGGAATGACTATATTTAAAATAAAAAATATTTTAAATTCAAGTTTCTTTGAAGAAGGGTGGTATGATTTTTTCTCAGGAATGAATGAGTACATATTTCACCTCATCTTTGCCAACACTTCATTCCATCTATTCATATCCCAGGCTTGTGACACCCCCGACCCCAACCCTTTCACTCCCCCCCTAAGCCCCCCTCGGACTGCTTGACCCCCTTCCCTTCCGCCTCGGAACTGTCTTTAGTTTCGGCTTTTGCTGCATTACTCGTCGCCACTAGGCGGCGCGCTCCCCGCGGTCCCGCTCTGAGTCAGCCCTGGGCTTGGCCTATGGCCTGTATTGCTCCTACTTGCCACCAGGGGCGCCCTCCGCCGTCTTTCTGCACTTCGACCCTCGCGGTCCTTCATTATTCCGCGCTTGGCCCCTTCCCCTCGCTCCTCGTCCCCTTTCGCGCCTTACTCTGCACTTTACACACCCCTCCCCGCCCTTTACCTCTTACCTCGTCCATCCACACTGTCACCTCATCCGGCGTTTTCCCCGCATTATCCCTCTCTCTCGCTCCCTTCCTTTGCCGCGGGAGCCTCGCCTCCCTCGATTGTTCCGGGTCGCCCTCATCATTGCGTCATCACTAGGCGCCTTTCCTAAGGTCCCTGTTCTTGCACATTTGAAAAGTGTGTTCCATATATTGAATGAATTGATTAGCCATAAAATCCTAAGACTTTATTACCTTTAGAACTATGCAGGTACTGTTCGACGGCTTCTGGCATCGAAGCTCTATAGCACTGTGGTTCCCTGCAAATACTATTTGGATAAGTTTGGTGGGGATTGATCCTATAGATACATAGTATGATTAACTATTTGCTCTACGATACATCAAAGTAGAACCCTCTCCTAATTTATCCCACACCCTGAGGTCAAAGACTTTATAGAAAATAGTGGTGGTAACTAAGCTTAAATGCAGATGTCCCGTCATGTCTCCCCCTTTCTTTTTCCTTTTGCTGTTTTCTGCTCAGAAACCATATGAATATTTCTCATCCTAATGTACTACAAACAGTCCCAAGAATAGTTCCAGCTAGTATCCAGCCGTCCCCAAATATGATGCATTTTCTTGAAATGTTATTTATATGAAGAAAAATCAGTACATTCCCAAGTTCCTTGCTGAAGCTATCATATAACTGAGAAATGACTTCATCTTGAACTAGTACAAACTCCAAGGTGGAGATACAAGTAACAGGGATTCAAAGACAGGGAACACTTCAACACAAGTTTTCTAGATTAGATGACAAAACTGACAGAATGCATGCTTGTTTCCTCATCTCTCCAAGGTATATTCCTACCCAAATCAGAAGCCATTGCACCAACCCGAAGAGTATCTCTTGTGTAGAGAAGAAATCTTATGACACAACATGTACATCAAAATATGAAGATGATCATTGCTTTTTATTAAAATAAAGATGAGGAAATGCATAAAAAACAGGCAATAGGATATAAACTGAAGCATGAATTTTGATCAAAATGGGGATTTTTATTTTTTTTAACTTTTTTTTTTAAAGATTTATTGATGCATACAAGAGCTGAGGTACAGGCCAGAGGCATGGGGGGGAGATGCCTCATTGCTGAGGGGAGCAGCGGGCAAGATAGAAGAGGTCTGCTGCGCCATGTGGGTAGCTCCCTGGCCAGCCAAGGATCGAACTCATGCTGCAGAGGCTAAAGACAGCTTCATGGGTTGCGTTTTAACCCCTTGCACCACCAGGGAGTCCCAAAATGGGGATTTTTAAGTGCATGTTTGTTTCATGCAAATAAAATTTAGGTGCTTCCCAAGTCCCGATATCCAGGGACTATAATGATGCTCTCATATAGGAAATAATTTGAGAGAATCAGCAACTAGGATCTAAAACTACAGTGTGCCCACAACTCTGGCAGTGTGCTTTTCATGGGGATCCCAGTAAGAGCTATCATCAGTTGCTAAGGGTGTGATATTCCTGAACCACTGAGTATAATGCTTTACGCATATACAAGATAGTAATAAGTACAAATTAAACTAGTAAGTGTCTTGTCAATGTAGTTTTTGAAAGTTGGGGACAGCTGGATACTAGGAACTTTTTTTTCATCATAACTATGTTATTTTTCATCATACAGGTATCTTTGTATTACATACCACAAAGAATGTGAAATTTACAGAATCACATGGGTCTATGAGAAAATAGACCAGTATATTAAGTTAAATAAAATGTATGCTGCTGGAAAAAAGATCCTGGAGTATTTATCAATGGCATGGGTGTCAATTCTCATGCTCACGTAGTTGCTCTTCTGACTTTTCCTCTCTGAGGCCAGGGCTGGCTGTACCATTATCTTGTCTGGCTTCTCTCCATCATCTGGCATGTAGTTGCCCAAGTAGTTCACCTCCCCGTCGCTGTAGCTACCATCCAGCAGGACGGCTCGAAGATGAGGGAGCCCACAGGTGCAGGGAAGCTGTGAACAGACAACACACCCTGGGATGCAAACTCAGCTTCACCTCTCAGAAGCCCTTCTAAAAACACTGCAGGGGCGGAGGATGCGTTGTCTTTTTCTAGTTTCTTTTAGTCCCAGTTAGGTATAGGGATGGGAAATATTCTGCAATAGCTGGTATCTATTTTTGTTAAACTGAAGACTGTCAACTCTTAGGAAACAACACATTTATCATGATTAGATAACCATGAACTATTCTCCATGGTATCATAAAGTAATATGAGTCCTGATAAAAATGTTTACAGAGAACATTGTTGTGAGAGGGGATGAGGGGGAGGGAGAATGTGACAGGTTTGGCTTTGTGAAGCTAGTTTAATCCTACATGGTTAAACTATATAGTTAGAGTTTCTGGAAGAGATAACCACTGGGCTGCCAACAGGAGCAAGACAGCCTGGCGGGAAGGAAGGCGGGTCATCTGGGAAATGATGGGAGATGTATGAGCTCACATATGAAGGGAAATTTTCTAAAATCAAGGATGTGTTTCCTTGGAAGGATCTTTATTACACCTCTATGAATTATCATTTGTATCACTAAAGTATGAACACCACCAAGATTAAAGTGACCGTGTCTACATTAACTTGGCTTAGCAGTCCTTGGTATATGGTAGGTAGTCAACAAATGCTTACATAGCAATGAAAGATGTAACCTGGAGTAAACATAACACTTCTGAATATAATTTTTCTTGTTCTACACACCAACCCAGTAAAGTGGTAGAGGAGGGGGTGTCATTGTATAGAGGTCTGATCTGCCCGAAGTCAGAGCTACACCAGGCTGCTTCCCTGCGCGGACACTTCATGGTAAAGTCACCTTTGTCCGCAGCTTGCGTTCCTTCCGCTCCTGCGCCGTGGTCAGGTAGTTGACGGCTGCGTACTCCAGCACCGAGAGGAACACGAACACAAAGCTGACCCAGAGGTAGATGTCCACGGCCTTGACGTAGGAGACGCGGGGCATGGAGGCGTTCACGCCCGTGATGATGGTGGACATGGTCAGCACCGTGGTGATGCCTGCAAACAAACACAGAATGAGAGAAAGGCACGTTATCTTCACCAAACACAGGATGGCTTCATACCTCTGTTTTCCACCCCTCCTCTCCCTTCAGCCTAGAATATCTTCATCCCTGTCCCCCGGTCCAGCAAACAGGTACTTATCCTGCTCCTCTACCCGTCATGCCCACCCTGAACCCCCTCAGCAAGTTCACCTGCAAATTCATCACAGCAACTGCATGTTTTGTCTTTCTGCAGAACACCCAAGACATTACAGCAGGAAAATATTTCCATTCAACTGTTTAAAACAAACATTACATATGTGAGCAGGTATGTATGGTTTTTTGTGAGAGTCTCCAAAAGAGAAAGAAAAAAGCAGACAAGGCTTATTTTAATAGTTGTGTCCTTGTTGCTGATGTGTAGAACCCTGGAACCCTGGGACTGTAGGGTCAGTCAGCTCTCAGGCCTCTCTGGCAGCCACCCCCATCCTGGCCCTACCTGCCTATTCAACATTAGACCTTGAGGATTCAGAGGTCAAGATTAGCAAGGTTAATGTTAACTTCATTTATAGGAGACATATTTTTAAAAATAGAATGTGTATTTACTTAACATAGTAAATATTTAAGTGATGATAGAACAACTATTAAAGGACAGGGCATCTTTAGGGAAATGTGTCCAGGATTAAGCTCAAATTATTCTCAAAAAATTCGCTTGACAAACACCAACTCACAGGGCTCTGAGGTCATTTTAAGGCTCGGCTCCAATCCAGTTTCACTAAACCTGGATTTACCTTTCCAGTACTTGAAGTGTCTGAGCAATGGTAGTGTGTGTGATTGAGGGGGTACAATCATCCCAAAGTTGGGATGAGAGTGGCTAGCAAATATTGCTTGTGGAATGCTTACAAAGGAGGGATGCTTAGGCTTGAGTGTATGTAAGAATCACTAGGAAAGATTGTTCAAAATGCAGTTTACTGGTTCTCTCTGAGATTCTGATTCTACAGAAGCAATGAGACCCAGAAATCTTCATTTTCAACAATTTCACTCAGAGATTCTATCACAAAAATATGTTGGGCTACCTTTTGAAAACCCCTGTTAGAGAGCACCCCTGCGCAAGGACTGTCCACCCCAAATGAGGCTCAAACAAGACTAAAGGACCTGGAAACAGCTTTACTACATTAGTTTTTACTAATAGTATTTTATCTGCAATGAATAACTGGAAGGTTTTCCAAGTTATCATGTCAACAGAGGTTTAGTATCAATTTGAAATGAATGCTCTTATCTGGAAGGAATTGTATTTTCAGAGGACTGGAATTTGCACTCTTACCTAAGGGGACTCTGGCAGGCACAGCTCTGCGGTCGATCCAGAAGGACACCCAGGACAGCATGACCATCAGGGTGGCGGGGAAATAGGTTTGGAGCAAGAAGAAGAAGATGTGGCGACGCAACGTGAAGTTAATGTACAGACGGTTGTACCAGCCTGGGGACACAGGAAGAAAAGCAGACATACACCATAGCTGCACAGCTCCTTCATAAGAAAAATATATTCAGGGAATCATAAGTGCTTTAGACGCATCACCAGAACCTTACCACACCTTTATAAAGTGTTCTAGCATCATTGCTTGTTAACCCACACCGTGTGGGAGAATCCACTCTAAGTAATCTTTGACCTTGTCTTAGACACAAAAGAGATCCCTTGACCAGGTCTTTTAGATTCCTGTTACTCAAAATATGGGGTAGTGCCCAGCAGTGGGAGCAGCATCACCTAGGAACTTGTTAGAAATGCAGACTCTTGGGTCTTACCCCAGATTCACTGAACCAGAATCTCTTTTTAGTAATATTCCTCAGTGTGACATTACTTAGAATTGGGACTGTTAGAAGGTAATTATGCTATGAGTGTAAAACCCTCATGAATAGGATTATGTCCTTATAGAAGAGACCCCAAAGAGCCCTCTTGTCCCTTCTGTGATATGAAAGTATAAAGAGAAGCCAGCCATCTATGAACGAGGAAACAGGTACTCACTAGACACTGAGCCTGCTGGCACCTGGATCTTGGACTTTGCAGCCTCCAGAACAGTTGTTTAGGAGCCATGCAATCTATGGTATTTTGCAATAGGAATCTGAACAGACTAAGACAAGAAGGGAGGCTGCATACTAGGATCAAAGGAGCCAAGACTCAGGGGTGAGGGATGGAGAAATAGATGTGCTGCATTGGTGTGGTCTGCTGGAAGGAGAACAGTGCCCTCTGTTATAGTGTAAGATGAGCAAGACTGCAGCCATTTTGAGAAATAACTGCCATCTCAGAAAGGCACAGCTAGGTTTCGTTTCGGGGCAAAAACCACAAGCCAAGGGTAGACGAAACCTAGCTGGCACCATGAGAGCTATCCAATCAGGGTGGACCCTGCCCCAGGTGTGAAAAGTCCCCGCATCCTGTCAACAAAGTACAAAAACAGCTGGTTGCTCTAAGAAGGGGTCCCTCTCTCAACCTGGTGAGACTGCTGTGTCAGTACTCCAGGCAGAGTTGGGCCCTAGCTTAAGCTAGCAATAAAGCCTTTTTGCTTTTGCATCTCTGGCTCCGTGTGGTCTTTGGGAACCCCGGACAGAGTTGAGGTGCCAACTCCTAACAATAGATTAGAAAGACCAGAGCACTCAAAGACTTGTCCTTCCCATACATCAATCATGTAATGTTTTAGCAACAGAAGTTACATGAAGGTTTGAGAACATCCTCCTGAAAGGTGATAGTCAGGAGAGAGCAAGAGATAGAGCAGATGAGCCTCAGCTGTTTAAACAGCACAGTCTGCCAAGAGCGAGCCCACAGAGCAGGCCCTGGGGCCACAGGAGGTGGCAAGTCTTTCCAGACCCTTGGTTCAAAATAGGGCAACATTGTCCACTGGAACATGCACTAAGGTTGACAAGAACATCACCGGGAGGCCCTTGAATGCAGTACAGCAAGAGGTGATTGCTTAGGAGTGGAGACCTCAGAGGGGCTGGCTAAAGCAGGGAGAATGTGATGGCAAACAAGGGTTTCTTGTCTGTAGCGGAGGGGGTTCTGGTAATGATATGGGGGTGAGATGCCAGCTGCTAAACTAGCCATGTAATTATCTCAAATAACCCCCCTCCCTGGTTTATGTTTGAGTACTTATTAATATTTTCTATGTTCCCACTTCTGATGCTTTGGGTGGTATAAAAAAAAAATCACCTCCACCCAATGTTTGCTACCTCTAGACCTGATTTAAGAGCCTCATCTTTGGTTTCCAACGCATGTGACATGCAGATAACCAATTCACACCTTTCCTAAAACAGAGAATAGCCCACCACAGCCATGCTAGAGCCCCCTCTCCGGGGTCTTCCACACCCACCTGTGCTGCTGTAAAAGGCCAACCTCGTGGTGGTGTGGAACTCTTGAATGAGGAACTGGGAGAGGGAGATCCGCTCGTCTGCCTTTAAGGAGTCGTTGCCTTTTTTCCAGTACAGTATGAGGTCATCCTCGGTATAGGCATCTGAAAAGATGGGCCGCAGTGTTGTTAGGAGAGTGGATGCTCATGGGTCTGTGTGTGCGCGCTGGTTGAAGAATAACAGCCGCCACACCAAATGTGACAGCAAGCAAATGTGGATTTATTGAAGCAAGAGGAAGGAACTCGTGACAGCAGGGGGCCCTAGGGAGGACACCCGTTTACTCCAGCCTGTCTATGACTATATCCTGTCAGACTTCCTGTTGCCCAATGTGCCAGACTATTGATTAGGCACTAGGTGGCCAAGAAGTTTCGTGGTGGTTGTTTTTCTGTCCCCCAATTATCCTGTAACTGGATCTTACTCTAGGTGGGGGCTAGCTCAGCAACATTTCAGTAAAACACTTCTATTTTCCTGGGAGCTGTTTTATTCCTTCTGTTCTATATTGTTTAAAATCACTGTCCCATGTCTCAGCCTTTCCCAGTCCCCAAGTTCTCCTGGTGTCAGTTCCTCTCAGCAACAGTCATCCCGGGTGGGAAGGCAGGCCTCTGGTGGGGGATCTGTGGGAGTTTCCCTGCTCTTCCACACAAGCCATGAGATTGCAATATGATCATCTGAATAAACAAACTGCAGTCTAAACAAAGCAAGGCAAAATCCAAAAAGATGAAGTCAGTTCTCCCCAGTCTTCCAGAAGTCCTCAGAGCAAACCTCTCAAACCTAACTGCTCATAATTCTGGTGGAAGTGTTATAGAGCAACCCCGATATTAAACGGTAGGACAGGGAGAGGGTCAGCCCAAACCCCGCAAACCTGCCTATTCTAAATGGGTTCTGCCATCCGCCGCATCCACACAAAACATAGGAGACTTTAATGGGAAGGAACTTTAATAAAACTAGGAAACAATACAGGTAAGGCAAAGAGTCTAGTTTCTAAATGAAGCACCCAAAGTTACCCTTTCCCTCGTGGGTAAAAGTCCATCCAAATGGGATTGGTCCAGAACAAGGCCCCAAAGCCTGCCACAAGTCTAAAGCATCTTCCAGTGGGGACCCACAGCAAAGGGTCACAAACAACCGGACAAGCCCGGAAGGAAAAGAGCAAAATCAACATCAAGATAAAAGCTGCCATTGTCACCTCCCCACGGGTCTCACCCACATCTGTGTCACCCAGTCCACGACCAAAAGACAAGCACAGTTTCTTCACGTGTCTCTAGGCTCCATGTGCCTCCTCCAGGTCTCCTGGCTCCATCCTGCTTCCTTCCTTCCTCAGTCTCTTCTGCAGCTTCTCCTCTTCCTGCTCAGCTCCACCCTCCCTTGGGTGGGGCAGGGAACCTCCCCCTTTCCTGGGGACCACCCTGTTGCAGAAGGGTTCAATCCACAATTTAATTTGCCATTTTTAGGTTCAACTGTAGGAAGCACTATTTTTAAATATCAGAAATAAATACCCACCATTGCAAATGGATGGAAGGGTGAGTAATCTAGCCCTTTTCTTCCTTCTTTCAAGTATAATGATGCATTCACTAATGTTTACCTTTAAACAGCCTCAGGCAAGAAGGGCTGCATAATAGCAATGAAGGGTCCTTCCAAAGACAGAGCAGAACAAAACCTTTCTCTGCAGTCCTCCAGTTGTTCCTCTGGAGCAAAATCCAAAATCCAAGTGATTCCCCTTGAGAATCAATCCTCTAGGCTACCATCACCCCGCCCACTTTAGGGGCTCACACTTATTACCCCAATTTGGACAAAACCTACCTGTAAGTCCTGGACTGAACTGAGGTAAAACACAACGGAGCTGCAGGTCTAGGCTGATCATGTGTAAACATTTCTTTCCAGTGCTCTCTGATGCTGTTTTATTTCTGTTTTCTAACCTTTGACCTGTGTGAGATCAGTTGCATGTGTCCCCAGGGTTTGGCTGTAAAACCCAGGTATCCAGTGACCTACCAACCTACTGTTGCTGTGAAGATGCTCTTTAGAGGTGACACCTACAACCAGTGCACTTTATTCAGTATAATCTGGGTGGACCTGATCCAATTAACTGAAGGGCTTTAAGAGCAGATCTGAGTTTCCCTGAGGAAGAAGAAATTCTGCCTGTAGACAGCAGGGTCAGTGCCCCAGCATGTTTCCCCCGAGCCTGCTCTGCAGATGTCAGACTAGCCATGCCAGCCAACCCTCAGCCCACTGTGAGCCATTCCCTTGTACTAAGTCTCCTACTGTGGCTGGCTGCGCCTGAGTGTCTCAACCACCACTCAGGCTCACAATGGCGGTTTCCCTGTGCAATTGTTGCCAAATTTATTTTTTCCAAGAAAGCCTTTCCTCAGTGGAAATCTTACTCAGAAAAGCAATAAAATAGATCAAAACTGTGGTTGGCTTGAAAGGAGACCTGCCTTTGCTGACCCTTCTTTTACTGCCACCCAATACATACACAAAAGAGCTGTTGCCTAAGGGAACTGTGAAACATGCATATTCCACAGAACAAAGTTTCAAACTATTGCCACAGGCCATTGAAAGAATCAATTATGGGAATAGAAGGTCTTCGTCCCAAATTGGTTCCTAATTTTAAAAAGTACGCTGGATTTTAGCTTTGATCTAAAAGATTACTTTTAAAGCACAGCCATGAAGAAGGAACATATGCCAATTCTGCTGCTGAATTCCACAGAATGACTTATGAGCTGTGACCTGATGTCTGTACAAGTCTACTCACAGCTTTCAATCTCCAGCGAGCACGTTTGTGTGTCCAGGGGAAATCGGCTGAAGTCCATGTTGCATATGGCAGTCACTGTAACCCTAGAAAGAAAAAGACAAAATCCAGGTTTTCAGGGGCTGCAGAACAGAAGTGTAAGAAAGACCTCCATTTCCTTCCAGTGTAACTGCCTCCTCCCTATAATTCATAGTCAATGGGCTGGGAATTAGGTAAATCATGGACTTACTCTTCAGTGTTTATGTCTGACCTCAGGATCAGTGTGAAGCAAAGAGAATGTGTTCACCAACTCCTATCACATTCAAGCATTTTAAAGAAGTAACGGTCTCAACGATTTAAGAATGTGAAATAAAAACTCAAATGATGTGGTTTAACAGAAATCATTGGCGCATATATTCTTTTATTTTAGATAAATACAAGTTGTTCTGTTCTTTTGTGATTTTACTGATAGTCAATATTTGTGCACAATGTTACATAAATAATATTAGCATCTTTTTTTTTTTTACAATGTTAGTATTTGTATATTGTTAGTACTACTAGTGGGCATAGGTGTTTTTAGTGGATAATTCCATGCAATAATGGAAAAACACACTGGAAGATCTTATTGTACCAATGAGCAAGCACTTGCTGACATCTAATGGTTTTGTTTCAGGCTACTGCATCAGAGGATAAATAAATACAGATCATTAGTCATAGATGAAAGATCTTCCAACCAGTGGAAAATTCATTGCAGGGCACGATTAATGGTCATGGACTAGTACTGAACATACTTTTTCCCTTTCATTCACATAAATTGGTTCTGGAAATTCTCTGGATAATTCATGGCCCAAAAGGGAAACAAACATTTTTAATGTAAATGAAAATTTTAAGGAAAGGAACTTTTTTAAAACTAAGTTATCCAAATATTTGCCTTATTCCCTCCCCCCACATTCTATTTCAGTGAGGAATGCTTGTGTTCTCAGAGGATTGCTAGCAAATGGGTAGTTTCACCTCCCCTAGAAATCCTGACAAAGAGGGTGTGTTGGGTGGTGGGTTCAGAGTGGCAAATGACTTGAACACCTAATGGGTGGGCTTCCCTTTCCATGGGTGCATCACCAGCAAGAAAGAAAACATGAACCAAGGTTGGGAACTCTTGGAGCTAACTCTGGGGACATGACATGTCAAATGCAGGAAGTATTTGCTGCAAAAAAGGACTGAATAGCTCCTCTCTTTGTATCAGGTACAAGAACAGATGTTTTTTGAATCACCGACTCATGAGACTGGTTCTTTGCACTCAACTTGATGCTTTTCCACTTGTAACTCACATGTTGAACTAGCAGTCTGTGGTGTAGTCTAACCCAGCTTAGGACAGTGACTTAATATCATTCATCTTTATGCCCCAGACCTTAAGGTAGGACCTGGCAGAGTTTTTATTTGCACATCTCTGGAGTCACCCTCACACCCTGAGAAGTCTTAATAGAAATCTGTTGAGTGAATCAATGAGTAAATGAGGTTAAATAATGATATATTTGAATGTATTTTAGGAGTTAACGTGTTGCTGACAGTATTGACAATACCCAACCACTCCATGTTTCCCCCCAAATAAACCTAAAATTGGTAGTCTTCAGTAATGTAAGCCTTTTTATTTCATTTAAATCAAACAAACTTATGATAATATTTGAAATGAAAAATTCAACATCTGTTTTTTGCTACTGGGTGGTTCACTGACTTGATCCTGAACATACAGGGGGGTTTTCATTCTCTTGCTTTCTCTGTTCTGCCCCCTGTGTGTACATCCCATGGTATGCTGGAGTAGATGTTATTGGCTCATGAGAGCTGATTGCTAGATTGTCAGGAAGTTTGCAAACATAGTCATTATTAAAAATTAAATTAATAAACTTAAAATTGAATATGTTACATTAAACATAAGAAACATAAGAAATTCTCAAAATGCATCACCTCCTAAGTATTTAACTACTTTTTACTATTGTCTGCACTGAAGTTGGTAATACCATTGTGTTCACACGGAAATGCATGGCAGGACACCATTATGTAGAATTTTCAGCTCTGCTTTGGTGACATCAGTTTGGTAACTTCATCAGTCAGAACAGGAAAATTTACACTACAGAAATAGGAAAATGCTGCAAATCAGGGCTTGCTTTGTTGTTCTATTGAATGTCTAGATTTAAGAAAGTGATTGTCTAGACTTAAGAAAGCAGATGAACCATAAAATTGCATCATGTCTATCACCATTACATGTGAATAATACTAAACATTGAAGAAATATTCTTCTGACATTTGATAGCTATTACCCAGTTCAGCAAAGAAGTTAATATAACTTTGATGAATAAGTGAAGTACCTACATAATTTTTCTTTATTTCACTTTTGTCTTATTAACATAAATAACATAAATAAAAAACTCAACCAACATTTATCAGATCTGCCCTCACTTGTCAGGTAAAGGAGCAAATGCTTATAAACATTTATGTATAATCTGATTTTTTAAAAATATATATATATTTTTTAAAGATTTATTTATTTATTTATTTATTTATACAAGCACTGGATATAGTCAGAAGAGCGGGAGGGTGAGAGAATTCACCAGAGCCAGAGCAGGGAGCAGAACAGGCAGAAGGACCGAAGTACACTGCTGAGGGGAGCAGCCGGCGGCAGGAGAGGTCTGCAAGCCATGTGGGACCCTCACCCGGTGGCCTGGGATCGAACCAGCGCTGCGGAGGCTGCGGGCAGCTTCGCAGCCCAGCGCTCAACCGCTGTGCCACCAGGGGAGGCCCTATAATCTGATTTTTGTAGCACTATTATGGGCAATAGAATTACAAAAAACGATAGCAGGATTTTATAAATAGCAAATCATCTTCTTTGGTACTGGCTGCAAAAGCAAGATGACAAAGGGAAGTCATTATTTGAAAAGCATAGTAGGACACACACACTATTAAAAGCCAGAAAGCAAAATTGTAGTGGAACCAATGATTTTCTTGTTTTAGTCAAATGATTTGCCTCTCTCCCCATGTTCCAGGTGTAAAGGATGCTGCAGGGAAAAGGCTCAGAAGGAGGGCGAAGGGCCCTACCTGAGGCTGTAGAGCACTGTCCCGTCGGGCTGGACCCGTAGCATGACATTGTCTGTGGTGGTGTCATGGATGAAGGAGCGCTTGGAGTGCACGAAAAACATGTCGGGGACCCAGATATTCTTCACCAGCCGCCCGTCAAACGTCATGCTGAGGTTGTTGGTGCTGGGGAAAGACAACCTCTCGTCCTTCCAGTAGTGCCGCAGATAGAGGGTCATGGTGAAGTCCTGCAGGCAGAAGGGCAAGAGGGGAATCAGCAGGACATTCTGCACCCCTGTGGTGCCCTCGTCTGTCTGGAAAGGAAAGTGAGCTGTGTGAGGTCTTACCTTGCAGTTCCTGGGGTTTACCTCAGTAGGAGGAAGAGAACTTTGCAGAGGAGGAACTTAGCCAGGGTCCTCTATAGGGGGTGTCCCTGCACCCCACCCAGTCCCCTAGCATTGGCCTCTACACTCAGAAGGCAGCTGCTGCCAGCACTGTGACCTCTGCCTAAAGGCCCTGGGCCCACAGGCGGCAAGCAGGCAGTGTCAGTGCATCAATACCTCTGGAAGCAACCCCCAACAGAGTGGAGTTGAGTCAGGGAGGGGGTGCTACATAAGTACCCCAACACCCTGGGCTCTCAGTTGAGATAGCCCTGAAGTTGGTAGTTGTTTTGTGCTTCCTTAACTTCCCTGTGTCACCGCCCCACTCTCTTCTGTTTCCTGGGATCATCTCCCAAGTAAAATACTTGAGCTAGATGCTTGTCTTAGTTTGGGAACCCAAACTAAGATAAGGCCCTAGAAAGTCCTCTAAGGCAAGCAGTTGTAGAATTGTTCATTTTTTATCTAAGCCCACGAAAAAAAATTTTAAGACACACTTTTTCTTCTTCTGCATTTGCACAACCAGACACAGAATCCACACTAGCAGATGTGTCTGGTTACTTGGCAGCGGAAACCTCAGATTCACTGTTTATGTTTGAGAGTCTCTGCCCAAAGAATGCATCCCTGTGGCAAGAGCCTGGGCACTAGATGGGGAAAGATCAAGGCAATCAGCTGGCTCGGTTTCATACCAGTTGGGTAGTTTTGGGCAAGTATTTTAACCTTCCTGAGTCATCTGTAAAATGGGGGTGGATGTCCACACTACCTGGAGAGTTGTGAGACCCAGTGAATTCAGGCATGCCAGCTCCTGGCCCACATAAGTCCTGTGTGGATGCCTCTGGCCATGATCTCAGTCAGAGAAACACTTACCATGTCAACCTCTGAGATGCTGTCCAAGCTCTCTACCTGCACATCCACACCAACAGGAATAGCCGGGCCTGAGGACAGAGCATGGCAAGAGCATTTATTGCTTTTAGTTTTACTTTTACTATTGGAATAGATCAGTATAAAAGTTCCTCTGGAGCCTTCTTATCTTGTCAGATTTGAAGGTTTGGTGGTCCCACATGCCAAGCTGAAATAAAATAAAAGATAAAATGATGCAATCATGGGCTGGATCCCTGGAATATTCCAGTAAAGGTCAAAATAAATTTTTTTTAGTCTGAATCATCCAGGTGATCCTGGATGATTAATAGATAACATTTCTCCTTGGCTACACATTCTGATCTAAAGGTACAGTGAAGACATAAGTGAAAGCTGGGTCTGACCTGAGGAGCTAATCCTTATATGAGGCTACCCACTTTATGCTTCATATTTACCTCCTGATTTTGTGCCTTATTTCATCATGGAAGCCAATCTCTGGCACAAAAAAGAAACTGCTTGGTAAACATGCATCCAGAATCAAAGTCATACTCAGATCATTGAACAAACCTACACATCTGCATCTTCACCGCATGATGGAACAGCTTCTGGAGGGGACATGATGGACCAGGGTAGCCTTGGAAATATTAGATTTTTTTTTGCATTTCTAGGCTATTCAAATTTAATATTCATAAAGAGTAAGAAAGCACTATAAAGGGAGTAGATTCCTGCTCATTTCCCTCCCTGAGTTCTGGCAGAGTGTAATCATGGAATATACTTGGATCATCAAGGAGTGAAGGGTGGGTTTGGGTATAACACCAGAGTATGGACTAGATAGAGACCCCTTCCAGAACCTGCTTGTTCTTTAGGCAAAGGTAGCTGGAAGAAATAAAAGACATGAGAATGAGTTCTAATGTAAATATTTTTCCAGGAAAAAGAAACCCATAGAGGAAAAAAAAAATCCTATCTGACACTTAGGGTTGAGATGTGGCAGCTGCACCCTAAGCTTGCAAGGGCTTTGGTATCCTTCTGCAGTAAATCATTATTTTCTCAAGCTATTTTTATTTAATTAAACCCAGCAGACCACACTCTGACCTCAGATATGTACCCAGAGCTCTCTTTGCTAGCTCCCAGAAAGTAAATTTAGTTCAAGGTTATTTCAGACCATTTTCTGCAGGCAGCTGCAAAGGGAGGAGATTACTGTCCCTTTTCCTCCCCTCGCCTGGTCTTCCCCTTGCCCTTCCACAGACAGCTGCTGGGCTCCTGATCCTAAGCCATCCTTGTCAGGAGTGGTGGTTCGAGGACAACTCAGCTGGGCTAACCTGGCCCCCCGAAACTATGCTCAGCAGAGCCCAGGAGAGACTGGGCAGGGCAGGTGCAGATTTGAACGTTTGGTGGTCCCACATGCCAAGCTGAAATAAAATAAAAGATAAAATGACGCAATCATGGGCTGGATCCCTGGAATATTCCATGGCCTGAGACATCCACACAGGACACAGGGCAGACGCTGTGCTTTATGCCTTGTGCTTTATGAGGCAGGCCTGGTCAGGGAAGAGTGAAGTTCTTGGCTTGGTTTCTGCCAATGGACAGTTAGACCCCAAGAAAGAAGATGATGCCCAGAGGGCACAGCTCCTACCTCCAAAGCCAGGCCTCATGCTGAAGTCATGGTCATCTATCCTCAGAAGCTGCTCTGACTTTGTCAGTGGAGATTTGGTGATGTCAGGACTTCGTTTCAGAATTGGACTGCCAAGGGAGAAAAATACAGATTGATCATGTATTACAAACAAGTCAGATTAAAAACAAAGAAACAAAAAGCCGTGTGCATTCAGACTCAATCCTGATAGGTTTGCTGGAATGTGTTATTTCCCTTTTTGAGTTATTGCATGTCCCTTTTTCCTTTTTCTGGGTTACTTGAGAAATGAACTGTCCCAGAAGGTCCAAGATAGTAGTTTAGGAGTGGTGAAGAGTTTTAAAAATACCAATGCCCAAGTCCCACATCCAAGATTCATATTTCAGCAGCCAAAGAATGAGGCCTAGAAATTGGTATTTTTAAAAAAGCTTCCCAGATAATTTTCATGTGTAACCAAGGCTGAGAAGTGCTGGTCCCACAAAGTGCCTTTGCCATTTGGGGAGGACTTGAATGGCAGGGCAGATGGGAAACCCATGAAAGCCTTTTGATGAGCATTTTCCTAGGTGAAGATGTTGGGATGAGCTAAGTCTGGAGAGAAGGCTGCTACCTGGGCGACAGGCCATCACAGTTAGTGGTCAGCAGGGCGGAATGAGGCCAGAGGCCACCAGGGGCAGCATCTTCTTCCTCTCCAGCACCTCACCCTGTGCTGATCCCCCAGGGACTCTCAAACATATCAGTTGACTGAAGGAAGAAATCAACCCCTTAGATGGGGACCTGAAAAAGGAGGTGGAGGGATCCAAATAGAAAGCTGGAATGGAAATTGAGCCTGGCCCAGATTTACTTTGACTTTGGGTCAGCCTGAAACAGAACTAGTCCCACATAGCAGAAAGCTGGATTTCTTTTCAAATTAATAAACATTTCTAACTTCTCATCATTTTCACCAGGGATAAAGAAAACTGAAGTTCAGTTTAGACCTGTGGCTGATAAAGAACTAAGAGTGAAGCCCACCCTACTGCCTCCTATCAGTAAAGAGAGAGTGCCGGATTAGCTTTTCTCCAAATGTCCTTTTTTATTGATGTGTGTCGGGCACACAGTGTGCAGGCATGCACTGACATTACCATGGGAGCTGCCTGGTGAGGCCAGTGGGGAAGAAACAGCCTGGTTCTATCTGAGCCCTCACTGGGCCCCCTGACTGATCCAGCCAGGGCAGCAGGGACTCCACCGGCAACCTGCAGGCTGCTGACATGCAGGCAGGTCCATCCCTGCACCCTCCGTATTTGCTAAAGGGGACAACCTAATGATCTTCTAGCCAAACAGCTTGAAGAAAGATGCTTTGTTTTCTTTAAAAAGATTTTACAAGGGATCCACACATCTTGCAGAAATAATTAGAACAGAATCATTCTCACTAATTAGAGGTCCCATTGGTTATTTGAGAATTCACAATTTGTTCAACCTAGGATGCAGACATCAAATAATTGCCCTTTTAAAAATGTGCATACATTCTTTTTCAAAATCTGTCTTTCACCTAGGACAATTCATAAGAGATTTAAGAATGTGCATTGGTAGCACATTTTAAAAGAAAGCATAATTACTATTTCCTAATAGGGGAAAACAAGAGAACAAAGGGAAAAGGAGAAAAAAAATCCACATAAAACACAGTATGATTCCAGAACAATACTACAAACTTACTTTGCACGCCCTCATCCCCTAAATCCTTTGTTCCTAAAAGTGCACTCACCTGCCTTTCTTAGACATCTCGTGTACTTCTCTTCCTGGCCAATGCACTCTGCTTCCAGTGGCCAAAACCCATCCCCACCACAAAAGGAAGATGCCAACTTTCATATTCTGGACAGCCAGTTTGGGTTTCCAGACAGTTCTCTCAAGAAATAGGAAAAAGGAAAAGGGTGTTCTTTTTCTCTCTTATGACATTATTGGTGTGTTCATTATTAGAAGGATGTTTACTCATGCAAGGGGAAAAAAAATCAATCCACAGTATGTAATCTGAAGAGCAGGAGAAAGCAATTTCCACTAAACCTATAAATCCTCCTACGTCAGATGTCAGGGATTTTCTGAACTGCGGTTAAAGTCCTGTGTCCCTGTCACACAATTGTTTTGGCCAGTCTAAATTAGTTCATCGTTAGAAATAGTGAACCTGTTAGCAGAGGTCTATATTTTCTGGCCCGATAAATAGAAGGAAGTGAAAACAGATCAAAGAAATTTCCAAAGTGAGAAAGGCAGAGGGGCTGAAATGCTTATGTGCCAATGTTAATGAACTCCTCTCCTCCCTGGATCTATTTTAAGCTTTCAGCCATTATTATTTGCTTCAGCTGAGGGCTGGATTTGGCCATCTCCCGCCCCCACTCCTTCCTGTGGCTGAATCCCTGGAATCTCAGGACACTACCCGGCAGGAATGTCCAGATGGCTGAAGTTGGGAAAGCAAGGGGACAAGAGGCTTCTTGTGTCTTTCTTTCGCACAAAAAGAACTCCATTTATCAGTTGTACTATTTGTATTATGAACTATATCGGACTTTTCACATTCTCAAAATACCAGTAATAAATTAGCAGTAACTATGAAGTCTGTGTTATGTATAAGCAGTTTCAGGGGGGTGTTTTATTTTGGTTTGGTGCAGTTCAAAGACTCTTTTATCAGCAAAGGCTAGAGTGTGTATCTTCAACAAAGAAGAGCACTCTCAGGACCTTACAGGAGTATGCCGCAGGGTACTTCAAGCTTTGGACTCCTTAAAGCTCAGCTGACTGGGCTTGAATAACTTCCAGAGCATATTGGTGGACTGAGTCAGGATTTCCAGGACTCTCTATAGCCAAAAAAGCAGTCAGTTGCATAAAACTGCTAACCCAAATTTCATCGGAAAAAAGAATTAATTACAACGGCTATACAAATTGATGGGGGAATTTTTTCAAGGTTATTTGGACTCCTGTTGATTTGTTGTGATGTTCTATACCCTAGATATTAAGGAAGGTGTTATCCTATCTGCAATTCAAATACCTTTGTAAATTCTGCTATTGTAAGCTAAAATGAAATATTATTAAAAATAGATCTTTATTTTATTTTTTAAAGATTTATTTATTTATGCATACAAGAGCTGGGGTACAGGCTAGTGGTGTGGTGGGGTGAGAGGATTCACCAGAGACAGAGTGGGGAACAGAACAGGCAGATTCACTGAAGTACAGTGCTGAGGGGAGCAGCGGGCAAGTCAGGAGAGGTCTGCTGTGCCATGTGGGTCGCTCCCTGGACGGCCAGGGGATCGAACTCATGGTACAGAGGCTGCAGACAGCTTCACAGGTTGCGTCTTAACCCCTTGCGCCACCAGGGATGCCCCTAAAAATAGATATCTTTAAATATTAAAAGTAGATCTATCATATGATCCAGCAACTGCACTCCTGAGTTATCCATTTGAAAAATACAAAAGCACTAATGCAGAGGGCATATATACATCTGAGGAAGTGTGAACTTGCAGCCCTAAATCACAGTGTTGTAAACCAGTAGCTCAATAAAAAAATATATTATTTTATTTATTTTTTTAAGATTTATTTATTTATGCATACAAGAGCTGGAGTGTAGGCCAGAGGTGAGGGGTGGGGAGGAGGTGAGAGTATTCACCAGAGACAGAATGGGGAGCAGAACAAGCAGACCTACTGAAATATACCGCTGAGGGGAGCAGCAGGTGAGAGAGGAGAGGTCTGCTGTGCCATATTGGTTAGCGCCCTTGCCCAGGAAGGCTGCAGTGGCTGTTGATAGCTTGATAGCGCTGAGACTTTAACCTCTGAGCCACCAGGGAGGCCCCCCTTTTAAATAAAGTTTAGAATTAGTTGTTGATATCAGCAAAGTAATTTACTGGGATTTTGATTGGGACTGCATTGAAACTATATATCAAGTTGGGAAGAAGAACTGTATTGTAACAACTTTGAGTCCTCTTAGTCATGAATATGGAATCCCTCTCCATTTGTTATATCTTCTTGATTTCTTTCACTAGACCAATAAGTGAATTAAATAATACTGGGACTTCATGTTTGAAACTATTTCTAGAATGACAAGAACCTGAGTCATACCATGGACATTTCTTGTTTTTAATATTTTCTTCACATGAATGATTAAAGAGGCAAATTAACATTTTTTGAGCAGCTACATCCAAGATAACTTGACTGAATACACTTCTCCAACTGCACTGCAACCACCTTAGTCCAGGTCTCAGCATCTCTTACCCAGACCAGGACAATAGCTTTCTGATCAGTCCCCAAGTCTATCTTTGCCTCTGTGCCAGTTATCAATTTATTGATCTCATCCTCAAGCTCACCTTTCTTTCCCCTACTTTGTGACATTTGAATTGATCTCTGCAACCCACATTTCTCCTTTACCCTGTCATGATGCCAGGATCTGCCAGAAGAGGGTGCTAGATAGTCTACCAGGCTAAAGGAAGGAAAAGAGAAATTTTCTCCTGTTTTGTTTTTGAAGGTGGAGCAAGGAGCATCGTGTGCAACTGGTCCCTGTAGTGTTTCTCAAAATGGGTAAAGTTCTCTTGGTTCCAATGAGCAACCCAAGCAAGCTTCTTCTTCCCTGAATGGCGGGCAGCCTGGCCCTGCAGCTGCCACACCTCCTTATTATAGTTTGAAACTCAGAACTTGCAGGACCACTTCCTAGTTTTCAGATTTCTTCTTGTTTACCTTCCCCCTCAGTCTGAGGGTCACTTGCTATAGTTGCTGCTTCTGTACACTCAGTCTTCTACCCTTCCATCTTGTGTCTGGTTAACAACTCCAGATTACTGTTTGAATTACTGGTGTGGTTTTTGCCTCTTGACTGGATGCTGACTGAGACACTCCTCAACCAGTATGATGTTGTAGAGTAAGTGAAAAATTATCAGGCTTTTTCACCCTCCTGCCATTAGCATTAATGATGGATCCCTGTGGTTCTACATGTATGCCTGATGGCGGACACTTGGAGTAGGGTGCGGGCATGGATAGGTGGGCACACCTAGGCTGAAACTGGGCTTATAAGGGCGGTGTCCTGGGAACGCCAACAGAGAACGAAAAAGAACGAGAGAAAAAGAGAAGAAGAAGAGAGCAGAACCAGCAGAGCAGCAAAGGAGAAGCAGATACCATGAGAGAACGCCAGAGAGCCCAGAAAAGAGTGAAGACTCGCTAGCCTCCTGGCCTCCTGCCCCCCGCCTCACCCCCACCTTGTAAAAAGCTCAATAATAGCCTGAAAAAGCTACCGAGTGCTGCAGGACTCTCCTTTACACATCTGCCTGGTTCATTGAGAATCTGCTCTGTGCCTTCCTGCCACTTTAGATGTATTTTTAAAATTTGGATCCCACTGATTGTTGGTGGAAATAAAAATCGGAATAGAATACATTTAGGCCTGTAAGATAAATGGACCTTCCACCCCACTGATACCCTGCTGCAGTTTCCCACTGGACTTTAAGTAAAAGCTCAACTCTGTATTCTGTCCTAGAGACCCTGCCTAGGCCCCCAGGTTTATCTGGTTTCCTTGCTGCATCTCACTCCTCTCTGGACAGTGCACTAAAGATGATAGTTTCCTCCTGCGAGGGTCATTTTTATTTGTCATCTTGGCAAGGCCTGGGACATGGTTACTTAATCAAATACTAATATAGTCTTGCTGGGAAGATATTTAGTATAAGTAGTTCACATTATTAAGTAATGAAATTAGGCCCAAGACCCAGTAAGTCACTTAGGTTAGGCCAACTGGAACTAAGTCAGTTAAACTGGAAATTCCATGTGAGCAAACAGGAAATTAAGTTTCTATGTTTGGCTATCCCAGAAAAGGCGGGCCTGTCAACAAGTCAGCACTTGCTTGCTTAGCGCAAGTTACCTGACCCAGTTCCAAGACTTTGTGCCACAGAAGGACATTAATTCTACTTTAACTAATCATCAAATACCCAGTGTAACTTTCTTGTTCCTACCCATTTTGGTCTGTTAAATATCTCACCATGTGTAGCTTTTTGGAGTCCTGTTCTATGTGCTAGGTCAGATGCCACCCATTCATGAATCATTAAATAAAAGCCAGTTAGATTAAAAATTTGTGTCTGTGAAATTTTCTTTTAACATATCTACATCAGGTAGTTTAAGTAAAGGAGATTATCTTTTTTTTCTTTTTTATTTTTTAAAGATTTATTTATTTATACATACAAGAACTGGTACAGGGCAGAGGTGTGGGGGTTGAGAGGATTCACCAGAGACAGAGTGGGGAACAGAACAGGCAGACTGACTGAAATATAGTGCTGAGGGGAGCTGCAGGTGAGACAGGAGAGGTTTGCTGTGCCATTTGGGTAGCTCCCTGGCCGGCCAGGGATCGAACTCATGCTGCAAAGGCTACGGATAGATTCATAGTGCTGTGATTAATCCCTTGTGCCACCAGGGAGACCCTATTTAGTCTTTTTTAGTCAAGCTTAGAAAATTTTCAGAGAAGTAAATGCTAATATAATAATGGAAGAAATGATATATCCCCACAGATTTTCACAGTTCTTCCACAGAAGAAGCAAGGCTTGTGATATAGAAGTCTTTGGATATGCATGCACTTGGCCTTTACTTGGCTGGTTGTAGAATGTTTGTTAACATAACTTTGAACCATTGCCAAATCCTAACTCATAACATAACTTTGAACCATGGCTCTTAGGATAAATAAAATGCAAACCCATTTTGGAAATATTTGGAAGCACGGTGGAATTCATAATGGCCATTAACCATGTATTTTCTCCACCAGGACATATTAAAATTATGACTACAATCATCTGATTGGAATGGTAAGAAGAAATACTTCTGCTGTAAACCTTTGAATTGCATTGCTGTTCCTGAGGGTGAGTCACGCAGCCCTGTCTCCCTCTGCTGGAATTACAGCAAAAGTGCTGAAGGCAGCATTTTATTCCTTTCCACGTTTGTTTTTAAATGAAACACAGGCTTCTGGGTTTAGGTATGATAACGTCACAAAAGAAACCCTAGTTCTTTGTTAACGAAGTTCGATAATCTTTTCAGAGTTCTGGGGGAGTCACTGTGGTAGATAATGTGGGGAAGAGAGGAAATACTAGCTTAAAGCCAGTGACCACATGGGGCCCTTCGTGGGGTCTGCTGGAATGGAAGTGGAGGTGTGGATGTGTGTCCCCTCAGCAGCATTAAGTGGTATGAGAGCTGAACACAACGCAGGATGAGGGCAACCTAACTGCTGCTGAATAATTGCAGGGCCCACTTGAGGGGTCCTTTGGCATTTACCAGCATTTTCACTCTCCGTGATCCCATTTGGCCCCAAGAACAAGTGCTGAAAAGGTTATACCTCCACTTCATCTACAA